TGTAATGAATTGTTTACCCAGAAATGCTGTGTAGAAAATGAGCAATGAGGTTCAATGATTGAAATCTTGTACCTTGCGCTCAGAAGCTCGTTTTAAGAAGTGAAGTCGAACGAATGCAAAGGGTAGAAATCATGTTTTTCGTATTTACAAATGTACAATTCATCGATATGCTAGACTTGAAACATCTCATGAATTTTGAGCCAGCCAACCAAAGAATCTGAAAAAGATTTTTTAAAATAAGTAACTTGTACATCTTGTAGGATTCAATTAAAACAATTCTGAAGGACGAGCGAGAACCGAATTGTATAGTCCACACTCCCCTTCATAAGTTTGAATGTTAATTATCCCAAAGGTGTACGTATTATTGTGATATTTAGGAAATTATGAGAGCTCTCTAGATAATCATCGTCATTCAACTAGTAAATGACGTCACAGTCCCACACAAATCTTCATAACTAGCTGTTTCACTAACCACTGGTCTTGATTAACTTGTGGCTTACTACCTTCTCACCGCACACTATATAAATCTGATAGAATTTACGACTCAAGGGGATAAATAGTTTTATCAACTTATATTTTAACAACTTTGTACATGGTAAAAAAGTAGATTTACGATATCGCGAGGTAATAAATATGCGTTAGTTGTTCCAGTAAAACAGGATTAACGTAATGAAAAGCCATCTAAGAATAATTGCAGGAGCGGATGTTAACATAAATAGCCGAGTTATTAGTTTTGTCCACTCAGGGAAAATCTTTTTGTCGGAAAGAAATGACCATATTACAAAGATCTGGTTAGGATACTAAAATGGGCAACAATAAAGAATAAAACAATACTTTAGTTTTATTATGTTATCGCATGCGTGACCTCTTGTCGTGTAAAATTTTGACGTACAACGCATGTCACCATACCCTGGCGTTACGTTAGTTTTTTTGTGGCAAATGTGACATGTACATTACGTTAGTTCACAAGCTCATCCTGTATTCCTTTCAATTTGAAGGTTGACTCAAACACGTTTATGTGATATTTTCTCGATTGAGGATCTAGGAACATTGCGTCTATTTTATGATATTTATTAACTGTTATTAAAGCGAGAAAAGTACTTTGAAAGTGCCATTTTCTGCAATATCTGTAAATAACACTTAAATAAGAATCCCTTGAAAAATGATGAGACACCCCGAATGAAGTGAGGTTTTCAATAATCTGAGTTGTAAATTTGCAAAACACCTCAAAGCCTTGCAGAGAACTAATTGAAAGGATATTTAGCGTTTGAAAATGAAAATGTCTAGCTCAATAAAATGGCTTACTTGTCTTGAATTTTTATCTCGAAGATCGGTGTCATCATCGAGAGTATGGGAAATATATGTTTGAAAATCGTAACAAAAAGGAGAATTATACTAGGGAAATGTCATAAACGTGGTTATCAGGAATATACAAATGAACAGAATTGCATGTCTCCAAGAAAAAACACTTTTAGAACTATCAATCATTCACAATGAGAATTGCTTTATATTTGGACAATTATGATTGCAGCGTGCAAATATTTTCTCGAGTAATTATGACCGATGCGATCTAGGGTTGCTTGGGAATTCCTTTTACTTTTATTGTCGATTCTAGCGGGTATCGATAGTAACCAGCCGGCGACCTTTTGTAAACTGGTAATAATCACCATGGGGCATTCATATTTCATTGAGAAACTATGCTTACGATTACTACTTATAAATGAAAAAGTGTGAGAAATGTGAAGAAATATTAAGTAACCATGACAATTTGATTTAAAGGCAAAATAAGCATGACACCCTGTTATAATTTCCGTTGTGAGAGTGTGATGTGACATAGTATTAAAGCATGCTGTAATGATTATTTATGATGATGGAATCTTTCAGTCCGATTAACAAATTGAAAAAAACTAGAGGCTATATTATTTCAGCTTTGATCGAAATAGTTCAATTATTCCTTTAATTGTTATTGCAAGGATGGCTACACTGGCTAGTAATCCACCCACTGCCCCGGGGAAGATATCAAAGATAATGATTTTCATTGAGGGATATGCTATTCCATGGCGCCTTTGTTGTCTTCTAGTAATTAAACGTATGGAAATTTATGGAAAAAGTACTTCATGCAAATCATAGTACAAAAAAACTTTTAACTAATTTGGAGATTAACCATATTACACTATGTCAATCCTTTTGGGACAAAGTTTTAAAGGCCCCTCTTAATTTATCTTGCAATAATAATTGTAATGTAGAAATTATTCTTACGTAGTGTAAGACGGTGTTGTAATCGTCCATACTAATCAATGGGATTTATTCATTGGATGATTGCAATGCTTATTTTAATAATATCAGTCCCTGGATCCGGTACGTTGTTCACAAAAAACTTTCAACTATGTTAATCAAATACGTGTCCTGAATAAAGATGAATGAATTTCTTTGACAAGCATCTAAAGAGAAGCAATTTGTAGCACAAAAACCACTTTGCGAAAAATAGTGAAATATTGCGAGACAAGTGCGTTCCATGAAGAGAAGTTATGTTTGTTGTATGTGATTACTAAATTGCTGCGTTGGGGGATAAGGGTTATTATCAAGGGGTGATATTTTATTAATAACTATTGTTACCTAACAATTAATTTAATAACCATCCGTATTACTAGTCTGTCTGATCTTAGCTTACATAACGACATTTTGAACATATTTACTCCTGATAGTGGATCGTGCGTAATAATATTTCTACCAATAATTTTGATATTTACTTCCCGATCCAAGCATTTAGCAATTCCATCTCACTCATTATACAATAAGAGCGTTTGATAATTTTCAATATGGCATCTCAGGTCAGCTTTTGCTGGGGGTTCACTCTTCAAAAAGTAAAGGCTTTGGATCTGCATCTTCGACCCATATAGCTATAATAACTGAGGGAAACGCCAAACACAAGTCTTTAATACATTACAAAAAGTAACACCCAGGCCGCAAATTGGAGTGGTAGTGACTACCAAACATGATTTGTCAAAGTTAGTTCCTAATGATAAAGCATATACCAATAGTTGGCCCCGTTTGTTGCATCGTTGTTAATGTGTCCATTTATAAAAAAAAGTCCTTCATTGTTAGGCGGCATTCCTAGTTATTACATTAAATAAGTTCATAGTCTGGTAATATTAAATCCATTTATTAGTGTTCATTGTCACAGACTTTATTACAATTTTTTGTTTTAGACGTTTCGAATGCAAACTGCATCCATGATCACTAAATTCAAATTTAAATTTGTCGTTATGTAAAATTGTCTGTGACAATGAACACTAATAAATGGCATTAGTTATTGTATAATTGTGTTTGCATAAGTGATCTTTAGAAAATCCATTTTCAATTATTCACCCTATGCAGACAGAGCCTGTGGGAAATATTGGGTGCGGAGCAAATGAGCGGAGGGTGCGGAGCTAACGGTCATTTTTGAATTTAAATTTGGGATATTTCTGAAACTAAGCCGTTTTGGGACTTCAAATATACCAAGATATGTGTATTTGACACCAAATATCATTTACAATTGTGAAAATAGTAGAGCAATTCATTCTATAGCGACGCAGTGTGCCTTAAACCTTTCCCAGACCTATATATTTTGAAATTATCCTTTTAATACTGAGTCCCCAGCATTCATAAAAAATGGTGTTCAAGGTACACTATCTATACAAATTATTTTTGCATCTTGGAAGCCAGGCAGTATCTGTGTGATTTTATAAAAATTCGGAATGTTTTTCAGATATGAGCCCCCTCTAAATATTGGTGCGGAGCAGCTCCATAAACGTAGCTCCGCACCCAATATTTAGAGGGGGCTCATATCTGAAGAACATTTCCGAATTTTTATAAAATCACACAGATACTGCCTGGCTTCCAAGATGCAAAAATAATTTGCGTGGGTAGTGTATCTTGAACACCATTTTTTATGAATGCTGGGGACGCAGTATTAAAAGGATAGTCTCAAAATATATAGATCTGGGAAATGTTTAAGGCATACTGCGTCGCTATTAAATGAATTGCACTACTATTTTCACAATTTTATTGGTATTTGGTGTCAAATACATATATCTTGGTATATTTGAAGTCCCAAAACGGCTTAGTTTCAGAAATATCCCAATTTTAAATTCAAAAATGACCGTTAGCTCCGCACCCTCCGCTCATTTGCGCCGCACCCAATATTTCCCACAGGCTCTGTCTGCATAGGGTGTTATTGTATGGTCAGAATTGAATAAATATTAATTTGTATCTCTAATATTTATAACAACACTTCAGAACTATAACGGTGTAACAACACTTGGTGACGTATATTGAAGGCGGGGTTTGTGGGCTATAAGTTGTTTCCTATAGGTAGTTACACTTCCCCCGCACAACAAATTGTTTTGACCACGAAATATCTACGTAGGTGAATCAATCCTGTGTTTCCTTCATACAATTCTACGAAATATTTATCTTATCAGTTCCGTTCTTCTGTTCTGTAATAATGCTAATGAGCAGTTGGTCTTTCAATGTTTGCCGCGATATACATCTGGTTCGTGACAAAACAAAGAAAAATAATATCTGCGGAATGGCAAGCCCTTATCTTTAACCTGTAAGAAACCTTCATTACCTTAAATATACACAATCTCCCTGATATTATTGCGAGCTGCGAGTTCACTGAAGAGGTTAACTCGTCTAGAGGTCCAAATCCTCATTAATATAGTTATCTTCCATATTGGATCGGAAAATGGCAAATCTATTGCCCCCGTCTTAAGGGGTTCATCCGCTAATAATATTCAATTTTGTAAATGCACTTTAGAATAAATATAGCTATAGACGAATCATATCTTTATTAATTGGACTTTCAATTTGTTTGAAGACTTCAACTTAGTTTTTCACGAGGATACTTCAATAATTGGTGACCATAATGTGTGTTACCAATGAAACCATATTCGAGGGATACTTCGTAGCCAATCGCTCAATGCGGATATAGATGAGGTAATACTAATCGCGGATTGACAAACTAACAAGAGGATTAACTTCCGATAGAATACTATTTAGGTATCGGCAATCTAGACACGTTCGAGAGAATATTAGTTGCGATCTGAAGAGACGGACTCAATTTAGATCTAGATGACAAGATTGCGGTGAGTTATTTTCAATTTATTTTTGAAAATTGAATCCGAATAACCAGCTGTGTATAATTGACATATTTTTTAAATATTAATTAATTTTGAATGAGAATTTTTTATTTTTTTAGTGCGATGACAGGAATTCAGCTTGTGTTCCTTGCAGTTTTTGCTTCTACTTCGGCACGATACATTCCCTCTGACAGTGAAGTATTTCCACCTGAATTTTGGGATTCCCAGACGTCAAAAAGGGATGTGTTGCGTTTTCCTTATTGGAAATCGTGGGCTTCAAATCCAGAAGCTGAGAACATTTTTCCTCCGGAATACTGGAGGGATGCGAATCAAATAAAACGCGCTGTTTTCCCACCGGAATTTTGGGATAATATAGATGCAAGCAAAAGATCAGTTTTCCCGCCAGAATTTTGGGAAAGCGTAAATACTGAAAAAAGATCTGTTTTTCCACCAGAATTTTGGGAAAGCGTAAATGCCGAAAAAAGATCTGCATTCCCACCAGAATTTTGGGGAAATTTAGAAGCTGAAAAAAGAGCAGTTTTCCCTCCAGAATATTGGAAGAATGAAAAGCGGGCGTTCCCGGCATGGAAGCAAACATACCCTGGTAAACGTGGTGTATTCCCACCTGAATATTACGACGATGGAGTCTATCAGAAAAGATCTATACCCTCGTGGAAACAAATTTCGCCCGGAAAACGTATGGCTTTTCCACCTGAATTTTGGGATAATGAATATGAGAACAAGAGAGCGTTTCCTTATTGGAAACAAACGGTGCCAAGTATTAAGCGTGCCGTATTCCCTCCAGGCTATTGGAAAATGGACGAAGACACAAAGCGAGCTACTCCGTATTGGAAACAAACTTTTCCGGGAAAGCGTGAAAGCGGCGTCTTCCCTCCAGAGATGTGGGAGAATATTGGACAACAGAAACGAATGATTTTCCCAGATGAATATTCCAAAGATCAATCAGTTAAACGATCTATGGAAAAGATTTTCCCTGATGATTACTGGCAAGGTACTAGCCAAGAGAAACGGACAATATTTCCTAATGAATACTGGCAATCAAATTTCCCAAATAAGCGGAAAATTCCAGGACTTGATATTCCCATTTATGCGTCCCCAAGGCTCTCTCATCAAGACATGTTACGCTTTATTAAGAAATAGATGAATGTTTCGTGTTCGATTCTACAATTATCATTGAAGTTTGGATAACTCAATTTTGGTAGATAGAGATGATGTTACATATGAATGCCATAGTTTCATTATGAACGCAATATGTGTATCAATAATAGCTTCATGTACGTTGTGTCCGAGTTAAGTAGTTCTTAGTTCAACGTTTGACTAGTCAGCCATAACGTACGCAAATAATTGTATATTAGAGTCACAGGCTCGTATCGAAAGATTTGTCCGCTGTGTGCATGCTATTTTTCATAAAAATACTAAGAATACTTCACAATTTATTTTTTAACTCATATGTTTCGTTATATCAAAGGCAATTTTACTTACTCCTTTTAATGGATATCATTTGCGCGTAACCCTCACTTCTGTTTGAAGTCCAATAACGCTAGGAGTAAAAGCTATTAAAAACGACGCCAGAGTATCATCCTCTAAAATGTACCATTTCTTACTTTTTAATGGCATGATATTGTGACACATTTACACATATTTTCAGCACAACTCTGAATGTATTGGGGAGATCTGGATGTATTGGAACTTTTTAATTGTTTATAAAAAAATATGTTTAATTTTTTTTGCCCGCTGTGATGGAGCAGTTTTACAGTTCATATTTGCAACTGCTCCGTCACAGCGGAAAAAAATTAAACATTATTTTTTTTTAAAAATTAAAAAGACCCAAAATGTCAATATTTAATTAATACCCTTAGAGTTATGCTGAGATCATATATAAATATTATCGTGTCATTATATCGTGCCATTAAAAAGTTAAAAAAGAAATGGTAGGCCTACATTTTGAAGTATGATACTCCGGCGCCATTTCCAAGACCCTTTCTTCCTATCGTTATGGGACTTCAAAGAGAAGTGAAGGTTATCCGCCAAAGATATATCCATTGTATGGACTAAGTAATTTTCTTTGATATAACAAAACATATGAGTTAAAAAAATAAATTGTGAAGTATTCTTAGTGTTTTAATGAAAAATTGCATGCACCGTACGTTACAGGGGACAAATCTTTCGATACCAGCCTGTGAGAGTGGATTTTTCTCTATAACATTTATAAGATAATTTAGTGTCTACATTGTCTATGTTGTCTTTAAGAGGCATACAGTGTTCACATAAAATAACACGTTTTAGTTATATGAGTAGTATATATATCCTGTATAAAAACCATTATAATGTGTAAACGTCATGTTGTGGTATAAATCAGCGGTAAACCGCCATTTTGAATGTATTTAACGCTGGAACGAATTGTCCACACGAATTGAATAAAACATTAACGTCCTTATATAAAATGATGTAATTAATGTAACATAGAAAAGTTGAAAGTTCGCGTTGTAATGTTTTTACATGGAAGAAGATTCATGAGCATGCTGTTTGCGTGATCTTGCGACCCAGAGGACGTCAGTATTTTATAACAAAAAACAATGTAAAATATCTTGTTGAAGCCAAACAATAGAATTGAGAAACGTTCGATCAGGTACAAATAATTTAACCATTGTCGTTTACATTTTTGACCAATATTTAAGACAGATTATCAGAGACGCCCTCTCGGCCAACTCGACAACCCTTAAAAGGTTGTTTTGCTAGTCGAGCTCACTCAAGGTCGCCTAGGGTGTTTCATTTTTCAAGAATGTTTTCTCCAGATCATAACGGCCCTTTAACATGGGGTTACAAATGGTGCCAGTAGTTCACTGATCTTTTTTCAACAACATTGGATAACGTTAAAACAGGTCCGTCAACCAATCTTTCCGTCCCATTGGATTACATTGTGAGCGACGCCCACTTTTCAATGGAAAACATTATTTCGCACTTCTTTGCTTCTCATTTTCCAGAAATGATTGGTAAATGTTTTCCTGTTATGAGCATTTGGATATACATCAAAACACTTTCAATTGATGCAAACTAGATTGTTCTAGCATTTTTTGTCGCTGAGATATTGCCAGTCTACTAACCTGTAGTCTACTGGGGGAGGGGGTCAAAAATAGAAATTGATTTCGGCCACTTTTCTGCTTAAAACACGATTTATTAGATTTGCAAGGGGATATTTTGTTATTTTATGATAAAAATTTTCTAAAATATTAAAATTGTTGACAGAAAAGAAAAACATTTGTGAATTTAAATGCCCAATATATGCATTTTTTATCTATTTGACCCCTGGACCAGTAGATCTGCTATATCTTTGCGATAAAAAGTGCTAGAACAGTTTAGTTTACATCAGTTGAAAGTGTTTTGATATATTCTCAAATGCTTATATCAGAAAAATTGATTCTAACCATTTCTGGAAAAAGAGCAGCAAAGAAGTGCGAAACATTGTTTTCCATTGAAAAATGGGCATCGCCCACAATGTACATGTAATTCAATGGGACGGAAAGAATGGCCGACGGACCAGTTTTAACGTTATCGGATTTTGTTGGAAAAAAATCAGTGAACTACTGGCACCATTTGTAACCCCGTGTTAAAGGGCCCTTGTAATCCGAGAACATTCTTGAAAAATGAAACACCATAAGGTCGCCATCTATAGACCACCTCTCTCATTTGACTAATCAATTTGTTAAAGTGTGCGCCTGACCCGGCTACGTATAGCACAGAGTTTATACTGGCGGATTAGACTAGTTCATTTTTTATATGTGTGTGAAAGCTTTCTCTTATTTGCGTTTTTTCGTTTAGTACGGTTTTGTTATAATTGCCGAGGTCATATAACCGGGATAAAACAATGATTATCGTTGACTGCCCACAAAACATACGTTGAGTGAACAGTGTTATTACAAACAACAGGCTTTAGAATACAAAGCGTAGTGTGATAATAAGCTGCACACTACCACTGCTGCATGTACATATTACTAATTTACTAGGGCTCCCAAAGAGTGGATAGGGAGGTTGTGTTTGTCACTTTTAAATTTTGCATTTCAAAATTGTCATTTTATATGTCATAATTTGTTGGTTTCATTCGTTTAGCCAATCAAAACATTGTAAAACAATAAATTGTCTGTTACGTACAATCAATTTTGTTCAGTTTTGATTAGTTGTCAGAATAAAGTTACGTTCATCTGAATCCATGTATCAAAACAAAAATCCTATTTTCACTTCAAAATACTTCAGTGAGATGAAGGCTCGGAATTGTCACATGCAATAACTTATTGTCGTATTCGTTATTTTATCTTCTCGATAGTGATAGTCGCACATTTGATGCCAGGTCACCTTGTCGCGTACCTCTTGGGGAACCCCACATTTATGTGTGTACTCATGGAAGTAAATTCCCCGGTGTAGCCGAGAGCCACAAACTTTTCAACAGGTTCGAAATGACCAATTTCTCTCATATATACTCTAAATATTTTATTATTTAGCACCTACAAAGTATTGCTAATAACCATATGTAATTTCAATAAGGAAACTTATCTGGCTACATATAAATTCAATATCAACACTAGCTGTTCTCTCAACACGTCCTGGCTTACCTTGTGGTGACAAACCCTGGATTTTCGCTATTTATAGTTTATCAACACCTGGACGCATGCGCATTTTATACTTTATCGGGCACTTTAAAGGTCCTATGCAAAGTTTTTTTTAAATATCCGAAATAGAAGGCGAGTTTTAAAATGATTTATAATGGACAAAGTCAATGGTTAATTCTCATGCAATATTTTTCAGACCTCTTGGGTTTTAATGCAAGTCCATCTATGCACAACTCGGGTCATATTCATTGTTCAGCATCATCTGTAGATGTACCAAAAATGCAACCCAGCTGGCAATTCACCTTTTCAACCAAGTAAAGTTTGGGAAAATTTGTTTGTCATTAAATTGGCAATGTTCTTAAGGTTGACAAAGTGTCATCACTACAGCATATGTATGACCACCAACTTTGTTGGCCCTTTAAAGAATCCGCTCCAATGTAAATCTCTACCACCTCGTGCACATGTCCTGAAAGGTAATGTTTATGTCAAAACAATCCTAGAATGACATTGCCGTGCCCCTCGAGATACTGGGAGAACACGGATGATAAGTCTTGTCTATCTCAAGAGAGTGGTAGCCATGCAAAATTTAATTGATGAGCAGAGGGGCCAGTAACACAGTCATGAAGCTTAGTCATCTCAAAAACAAGTGAAACCAATTTTATCACATCTCTATCTTTAATTTGCTCACAGTTTTGTAATTTCGTGTGATCTGTAAAGGCCTACAGGTACAATAGATCTACATAGACTCTTTCCGGTACATTCTGAGCATATCAGAGACCCACATTTGCATCATTTCATAGAAATCTCTAATTAAATATTTTTGGAAGGATGGAGGGGGGGGGGTATTGTTATAGAAACACGTTACGATTACGGAACAAGTGTATATATCCGAACCCGGTGTACTTTGAATTTATCCCGGGGGATTTCCTGCAGAATTTTACACTGGACCAACAAAATTAGCGCCAAAGTGAAAACGAGGCTCTCTAAAAATACTTTAAAACTTTACTCCATCAGTTTATCGTTCATTTCTGCAACATCACCACATGTTTGACAGTAAATTGTGAATGAAGTATAAAGCGTTATATGTGGTGTAAAATGGGTGCTGAAAACTAAAGGTAGGTTCGACCAAATAGTTGTAATATGATTTTGAAACCAATATTATCACTCACGGTTCAAAAGATGAAAACCCATAGACTAGATCTACCTCAAATTACGTGGAGATAGTAGAAAGCAGTTAAAATGTGCTCATTCTTCACAAAATGTTTCTCAACTGCGTCCTCTCGCTATATCTCGTTTGCAATTGGTCAGTGTAAAATCGTATCCTCAAGCCGAAATGCTGGGAAAGTATTCAGTTTATGATGCGTGCTCATTAAACCCAGTGATGAGATTGGTTGAAGTTATCATGACGCATGCGCTATCTATAACTTTATAGGAACATTTAATTTGGGATAGATGTCACTGACTTACGTTCATTATTTCACAGCAAATCCTACCCATAATGCACCATATATTGGGGAAATATTTTTGTCTAGTGTCAAAACAAAAAGTATACACCCAAAACAAATGTAATGGTATAATGTCAACCTGCCCTGGATTCGTGGACGTTTGTTGTACAAACTTAAACCGAACCAATGGCAGAAAAGCACTTTGAATCATGGGATTAATGTACTTCCCTTAATGAAAAACCGAACCAAGTAAAAACTGAACCTCGTGCAGATTGCCCCGACTCACTGTTTACACCAACAACCAATCAGATGGTATTATTACACCAAAAGTAGTGCAAAAAAGTTTTGATGACATTAAGACATAGTTCCTCTTTCACATGTATTATCTCATGGAAATGGGCATACCAGTGCAAAGATCTTTGTTCTGTGGTAAAGAAAAGCTATCCAACATTGTCTGAAGAGCAGATTTAGCTCAGTAATTCTACGTTTAACAGGGCGACCTTGACAACATATGGCCATTTGGGTGATAATAGGTGATTCTATAGTAAAAATGAGTGCTTTTTTCGTAGTTTTACTTTGACCAAGGCTTGCAAAAAAACGAAGTGATAAACCTACTCCCAACTTTTGATACTTTTGTTGTCTAAAAGTGCTCTACAGTTGGGGACATAAATAAATGACAGGTGGATTTGCTGAAGTGAGGATTTCCCATGTTAAAAATAAGAGAATTTACAAGAGGCCATACATCAGTGGATGAGATTATACAAAATGTAAAATATACAAATTTTAAGGGATATATATCTAGACAATATTGGAAATTATGGGCTTTCAGACCACCATAATTAGGAAATGGTGATCGAAAATCGACCTGTCATTTATTTTTGTCCCCAACTGTAGACGATATCAATAACTCAAATACTGTTGGCCTGATTTTGTTCATATTTTGTACACATATACCCTATGGGGGTAGAAGTTCTGCTCGAAAGCCGATTTCAAAATGGCCACTCATTTAAAAATGGCGGCCATTATAGTGCCAATTTTACAGTAATTTAGGTGCAATATATAAAACTGTAATAGCCATATGTTTGAAATGTAAAAAAATTATATAGGACATTTATAAAGCTACAAATGTAGATATTTAAGAAGCACATGGCAGCCATCTTGAAAAATGCCGGCCTCCACTTGTTATTTACGAATTTTGCTGTAACTCAAAAAGTAGTGGAGCGATTTTTTTCATATTTGATATGTGAATACTATAAGCATGGCACACTATCGAATGACACTTTTGGTAGAAGGCATCCATTTTAAAAATGGCCGCTATTTTAACGTGTTTTACTATAACTCGAAAAGTAGTGGAGCGATTTTGTTCATATTTGGTATGTGAATACTATAAGCATGGCACACTGTCTACTGGAGTTTTTGGTAGATGGTGGCCATTTTGAAAATTGGCCGCCATTGTAGTATATTTTGCTATAACTGGAAATGTAGTGGAGCTATTTTGTTCATATTTGGTATGTGAACACTATAAGCATGGCACACTGTCTAATGACACTTTTGGTAGAAGGTGGCCATTCAAAATGGCCACCATTTTAATGTATTTTACTATAACTAGTAAAGTAGTGGAGCGATTTTGTTCATATTTGGTACATTTTGGTAGAAGGTGGCAATTTTGAAAAATGGTGGACATTTTGAAAAATGGCCGCCATTTTAATTATTTTACTATAACTCGAAAAGTAGTGGAGCGATTTTGTTCATATTTGGTATGTGAATACTATAAGCATGGCACACTGTCTAATGACACTTTTGGTAGAAGGTGGCCATTCAAAATGGCCACCATTTTAATGTATTTTACTATAACTAGTAAAGTAGTGGAGCGATTTTGTTCATATTTGGTATGTGATTACTATAAGCATGGCACACTGTCTAAAGACACTTTTGGTAGAAGGTGACTGTTTTAAAAAATGGCTGCCATTTTTGCTAAATACTTTGTAAATATGCCAGCCATGGCTGTTCAATGGGATTTGCTACGCTTTGGCGTTGCTGTTGTCTAGTTGTACCTTACTACTTATGCACCATTCAAACGTTTGGGTGAGACCCCTCCACGCAGGCATGGGTTGGGAATTTGATAAAAATAATTTTGGCCTGTCTAATTACTTAACTTGGGGCCAAATAATGTGTCAATTTCCCTACCCTTGAAATCTGGTCAAATATTCGCGACCCCCGAGTCCTTCCACCATTTGAAATCTATTCTTAAACATTTTAGTTTTCCTTGTTAGTAGATTAGACTGATACTCATGAACGTTGAGGGATACGCAGGCAGTACTTTGTTTATGTCAATATTTTGATAAGAGACACCATATATGGTCATAAGATTCTTCATGGAAAGTCCACTACACGACATGCTACAATTGATTTATGAATGAAAAGTTTGGTTACGATTTACATAAGAACCAATAGAGAAGCAGCTTTTTAAATGATGCAATTACCCTGAAATTAAAAGCCAATGAGAATACAGTCCATTTTATGACACTGAAAGTTTTGACAAAAATGAGCTGAGAGTACCCTGCGTGCAGAGTCTAGTTAAACTACAGACAAAGCTCTCTTTTAAGAAGTGAAGTCAAACGAATGCAAAGGGTAAGCTGAGAGGGACATGGTTTTACTCTTGGTTTGTATCTGTTCAACAAAGGTAGAGAACATAACTGTGTGAACGATCACTTTTTGTGGAATGGCCGGGCGGATTGTTGTATTTTATAGGTATAATTCAGGAACAACCACATCGAAGTAATTTTCGAAAGGTCTCTTCTAATTTAAGCAATGACGTATTTTAAGATATTGGCTTTCCCCACCACATAGTGTGGGGCCATATTGTCGGCCTAGGTGCGTCCGTCTGTCTGTCCGTCCGTCTGTCTGTCTGTCCGTACGTCCAGCAGTTTTCTCAGTTAGCTCAGTCATGTCAGCCATTTTGAATGTTTTAAGAAAAGTTAGCGCACAATAATACTTTGTATCATATTGAATGGTGTTTTTCAGTTTTCATAGTTAAACTATTTAGTAGCTTTATAAATAATTTCAGGTGGACTTTGTTGTAAAACTCAATGTTATTGTTAACAGTAGTTATATGTGATAATTTTGTAAAAAGAAATCTGCAAAATCTCATAATCACTTTTTTATTGTCGGCCATTTTGGATTATCCGTCCTCAAATTGTGTCGGTAAAGTCTTGTCTACTCATTTTTAGGATAACCATTTGACGGGATCATCCATAGGTGGGGACATTTTGTACACATTTGTGTTCTTGTATTACTTTAATAGGCTACCTCCCTCCCTTTTATTCATCTATATCAAATCATGGGCTTTTAATAGCAAATTGATAAAATTAAAATTTGTTCGAACTTAAAATTTTTCAAAAATTAATTTTAAATTAAATTAATCATCTATATTAAATCAGTTAAATTATGACGAGCTTATAAATATAAGTAGAACGAGGGAGTGCATTTTTTTCTGAATGGAGGGCGAAAACAAGCTTGACAAACCAACTAGACATTGCTCAGTATTCTAGAATTCCTCTCTCCAGTGGTTATTCTTGGCGATTCCACCCCTGAAACTATACCCAACGTGAAGATGAGATATTTTCTTCTGTTCCTGCACTGATATGAGCGATCTTTAGTCCACTGAATATACCGATCATTTGCAAATTCCGAGAATCCTTAAGCGTATACTGAACGAAACAGATTCAGTCAAAAATCCCCATTCCTGGGCACATGTAAATCAAATTCCCCATCCCTGGGATGACAATCTATATAGATTCAGGCAATCTGCACGAGGTTCAGTTTTTCCTTGAACTGTTACATAACTTGTATGTTTATAACTACATTAAATTTTCTAACATTGTTGACTTTATTTTCAGGTGAGCAAATTATAGTTTACTTGACTACATGTAACTACAAAAGTAAAGTATCCGAAAATTAGAGAAGATGCGCTATGCAAAACTTGGTTGAATTATCATCATTACAAATTGAGGACAGTGGGGAGAAAACACGTGCTAATAAACTCCTTGCAAGTCTCATAAAACAGAGAAAAGATGGCAGCATGTGTGACATCAAGCTTAAGATCGGAGATGACTTCGTACACGCTCATAAATGCATCTTGGTATCTTCATCCAAGTACTTTGAGCGTATGTTCCTTGGAAACTTTGAAGAAAATCAAGGAGAGGTTGACCTTAGTGGTAGTGTTTCCAGCAAAGATGTCCTAAATGCTATCCTAGATTTCATCTATAGCGGAAAGTTGTTGATTACTGATGAGAATATTGAGGGCTTGGTCCAGTGTGCAACGTTCTTCCTATTGGACGATGCTCAGAAATTCTGCGAGCAATACTTGCTTTCAAATCTCACCATCGATACATGTATCCGAACTTATTGTCTCTCTGAGATGTACAATTTGACAGATTTGTATACAATTGCTGAAAAGGTCATGAAATCAAAATTTCAAGATGTTATCTTAAGAAATGAGATACTAAGTGTACCTTATGATTATCTTAAGAGGTTACTTAGCAACACGGAGATGATACAGCTATGCAGTGCAAAACATCTCATCACATTGTTATGCAGATGGAGTAGGTACAGCCCTGATGAGAGAGTTGATCATTTCAGCTCTCTTTGGAACATCATATCTGATCGTTTATATTCTGATGTGTCTGGTTGTGGCAAGTGTTTGGAGACTTGTTTTACAGAAGTTTGGTGTGACATGCCTGAGGAAAAGAGGATGGAGAAGCAATACTTTTCCACCTTTTTAACAGAAATGGAAACACGATTACAGAGTTTTTTAGGCAGTGATGAAATCTCTAAAAAATCAAACGAGTATCTCATTGCGTTCTGCGGATTACCACGTCGCATGGTTATCTATAGTCCTACAACCAACGCCTGGCATGAGTATCGGAAACATTACATGGATATCAACAAGTCTCTAATGTCAAACTTTGAGTACTTTATTGGCATGACGGAACAAAATGTTTATTTCTTCCGTAAGAAAAGGATTTATCCAAGTGAAAACTCTGAACTGATACCTGAAGGAAAAGTGATGAGCCTAAATTTAGAATCAGGCAATATGTCAGTGTATGCCACTTTTGATGAAGTACAAGAATCAACAGTTATTTTTGTGACTGTTTGCAATCAAAAGATATGCTGTCTAGTAAAGTCTCTATCCCCTCAAAATGGTGAAACGAAACTGAAAGCAAATTTCTCAGTTTGGAATGCACAGAGTCAGAAATGGGAGGTACGGCTCACCCTGAAGGATCCTGCTTACATTCAAGACAGAGGCTCTTGGATTCAGCACAATGGACATGTTTATGTAGTGTGTGTCCAACATGCACAAGATCAGGGTGCTAGCCAGAGTTTAGGACAGTATAAAGCTGTATTTTATGACTACAACAGTGATGAAGATACTGGAACGTCTTTTTACACATGCAAAAAAATTGGTACTAAAGACGTGAGACTTGTCATGTACGAATTACAGTATGTGCATAGTGGGATCATAGTTGTTATGGATAATTATAACACCTGGGTGTGCAACACAGCACTGAAACCATCAACTTGGGAAATGTACCCAAATGAAGTCACTCTTCCCGAGCTGACAAGTCTACCATTAAATCAAGAAGATCACTTTAAGCTGCCTGAAAAGGATCCTTTGGATAGCTCAAAACTAGGCGAATGGTATCAAACTTTGATTGGGGATCATGAACTCCATGTGGAATATCGACTACGGAATGATCTCGAATCAAAGAGGAGGGGTAGCTCATATACAATCTTGCCAAGTTTTCCAACCAATCTTGATCTTAATGAGTTGAGATTGAAAACAATGTACATGAAAGGAGGTTTCATTGAGAAACTACCTCTTGCTGAGTTTATCAAAGATGATGGTTTCTCTGAGCATATTCATCACCCTTACATTCTTGATGGGTTTAAGGGATTGTGTCGATATGCAAATGGGAAAAAGTGGTTTGATGCAAGCAAGGTCAAGAGATTTTTGAAAAAATACACTGTGCCCACCTCAGCTTCTACCAAAAATCAAAGTATTGATGCATCTGCTGAAGACAAACAATGATGCCTATAGAACAGTTAGAACTGCTGTATCTGAGCTAGAAATATGATGATTCCTTGAAGATAATGTTTTAAATGTTTTATTTGAATCCATGAACTGTGATTGCTTAGTAATCATAGACATGTATTTGATGCACTTGAGGCCCAGGGAGATGATTGAACAGTGAACAATATTACATACAGTGTACTGTACTCCTGGTAAATTTTGACGCTATAAAATTTCGCGATTTTTCAAAATTGCAATTTCGTGGCTATTTAATTTTGCGGATTTGCGATTTTTCAAAATTGCACTTTCGCGGCTATTTAATTTTGCGGATTTGAGTTGATGACATAGGAATTTCTTAGACACCTTCCAATTACCGTGAATCAATGCATATCTGGCTTTTTTAGCCTGTTCAGAATCTGAAAAATGTGTGTATTTCCCACGTTTAGGGCATTTATTTAAATATTCTTGAATGGCTTTTTCAACTTCAATTGGTAGGAACTGATAAATATTCGCGATTTTACTACATTCGCCAACAAGGTGAAATTAAATTGCACGCGAACAATACCCGGAGTACAGTATTTAATTTAATATTACCATGAAAATAACAAAAGAATCCTTAAGTTCAGATCTAACTTGAAATAGATTGACTTAACTAAACTGTCAGTTCTAAAGTACTGAAAAAATAATTGAGAAAATACCTTTCTAGTTTTCTAGATGATTGTTGGCTCTAGCAACTTCTTCAATGGTTTTGTTTTTGGCACTCTGATATTTTTACATTGGGAGGTTTTATTTTTTTCCAAATACCAGATTCAGATTCCTATGTAAAAGGTGTTGATATGTTGATAATAAAAATTTGTATAGCTGGATGGTTTAAAATCTAAGTGTTATTTTGAGATTGAAATTCACATTATTGCTGATACAGGTTACAAAAAAGGTGTCTATTTGTTAAACTTGAATAATCCTTACATATTGAATATCATGTTTTTATTCAGAAAAGAAAAAGTATTCCTGAAAATATTCACGGACCCTTTAAACTCTTCACATTAAGTAATCTAATGTATTTTACTATGTAACAAAAAAGTTGGAGAAATATGCAAAATGATGAACATGTTATGTTCACAAATTATATATGCAACCATGTTTGAGAACGTTTATCATTTTGCATATGTCTCCAACTTTTTTGTTGATGGTGTTCGGTGGTTGGTGTTCAGTGTTTCAACAAATTCATACAACTTCCAATAACTGGTGGTATTGTTTGGCATTGCAACTACATTGTGTCAGGTTCATCACTATTCTTTTATAGAAGCTAAAATGTATCAAATATTGAAATTAATCATTCATTCCTGCAACATATCATCAATAGTATTGTATTCAACATGTTCAACTGCACATGATGGTGATTTAGAAACTTATTTGATATGTCTATTTCTGGCCATCAGCAAACACATATCCTGAGCGCAGAATTTAGTTCTTAGCTCTCATTTGAAAAGCGAAGTCAAATAGATGGAAAGGGTAATAACTCCAATATTCATATTCAGAACAGTTTACAATGTTTGAGAAACATTTCACAATTAGCAGAGATAAGGCGGTATCAACAAAACCAAAATGTTCATTTAGAGGCTCCTGCCTGGTCAAAGCTTATTATGTCTTCACCAAAAGTGGTGACATATTGTCATAGTCTCTGACTTTTTGGTGGACAGTGTTTGGTGTTTGTTGGTCGGTGCATGTTACAAATTGCAGGTGGTGACATTTTGCATGTAAATACATTATATCTAGCCTTTATAGAAATTCTAGAAATGTTTTTATTTTTATTTGACTTATTGTAATATTAGCCAAATCACCTCATCAGTTTTCAAAAAATGTTCCACTTAACAGACAAGCAACATGATCAATCTGATTCAAGACACATCATGATCAATCTGATTCAAGACACATCATGTATTTCATACTGCAGTTACATAATATTCCTTCCTCCCTTACCCCTTCTAAATATCCATGCTAGGGCTGTCTGGTTCAGTAAATAATGGCTAAGATTCAAGTAGTGCTTAACATTTCTTGTGATCTTTAATTTGATTTTGCATGACCTGGGGAATCCAAGTATTAACAAATATTTACAATAATTATGACCTTATAGATTTATTAGTTTTATTATTAGCTCTTAGTCTGTACAGTGTAGTTTCATTTGATTTGGCAACGATTTGCAATTTCCAGAATATTTTTGATCTATTAGATTAGTTCAAATCCAAGAATGTGAATAATGACATTTAATTGAATTAAACTACAGTATAGGTTTCCTCAATAGATAAATAAGAAAAAAAAATATTTCTAAATTATAAATTGATCCTGTAAAATGACATCATGATAAACCATGGTATTTCATTTCTTCTCAGCCATGAGATGTCATGGTACTATGGGGGGGGGGGGGGGTTAGATTTAGTGATGCAAGAGAGCCCCGACTTTAGTTGTAGAGATATTTCATCTCACCTGATATTTCATCTCATTAGGGACCAGTTAATTTGTGGAGATATCACCTAAGTCTGTGTTAATATCTAATTGCAGTGACAATAGAATACAATGCCTATTGTGAAAGGTATGTTCATTATGCTAATTACAGTGAAACTGGTGTATCTGAACACCTCTTATCCAAACACTTGTCAATCTGAACACTTTCTCAGGCCCAATGTTTATCTCCCGTTGACTTACATAATAAGATAAGAAAATCTGAATTCTGCTTATCCTAACTGTTTTGGCTGGTCCCAATGGTGTTTGGATTAGACAGGTTTTACTGTACTTGATATCCATCACACTTAATGACAGTTATCTCTACAACAGATGAGCTGATATAGGAACATTACGAGCATGTCTTATATAGTGAAATAGAAAAGTTGATGACTTTAATGAACAAAAACCAGAAATGGTGACATATGACAAATGACAGGTGATGACATTTTGCATGTTAATGCCTCGTTATCATAATATTGTTTTAATGAAGACTCTGCTACTCTTTTACAGTATTAGTAATATTCTCTTTGGGCCTCTTATATGTCATATTTATTTCTATATGGATTTTATATTGGTGCTATTCATTAGTAATAGTATATAAAACTAGACTGATAAAATATCACATTCCTTGAGTGCTCAACAGTGAAGACAAAACTGAAACTGAAATATATACTTAATTTAGTTTTTCAATTCCTTCACTTAAATATGATCTTATCTCTTTTTAAGTTTCATTTGACATTTGGGTTTATTCCAGATACATCTTTGTACTGTTTGTTTCCTGAAAGTTTGCATCAATTATATATCTAATTTAAAATTACCTTATTTATATTTCCCCTCTTCTATTTATGTACAGAAGTAAGGATTGCCAAGATAACAATCCACATTGCAAAATGTGTTTTTCTGTTTTAAAGAATTTGTACTAAAAAGTTTTAAGGCCTTCCAGCCATAAGCATAATGAAATTATGGCATTTTCTAATTTTTTAAGGAATGTTACCCAATACAACTTGAAAAGGAGAGATAGGATGGACCAGCCTGGCTATCAAAGTGGTGGGAGTAGGCGTGGTTACAACCAATCTGGGCATGGCTATAACCAAGGTGGGCATGGCTACAACCAAGGTTGGCGTGGCTACAACCAAGGTGGGCGTGGCTACAACCAAGGTGGTCAGGGGTACAACCAAGGTGGCCGTGGCTCCTGGAGAGGAGGGCGTGGTTCTTGGAGAGGAAGAGGCAATTATAGAGGATATCAAGGTAATTTTGTATTATGCTAATCCATTATAGTAACTTTGGTCATTTCCTAAAGGCCATTAATGATCAATTTTGCTAATCTGCATTTAGGAAATACATTCTTGATCAGAAGTTTGAGTTTGTTTTTATATTTGGGCAGTATTATCATTCAGATTATAAGACTGGGAGTTGAGAGTATTTTCCTGTTTGAGTTTGGACCATGGAATGTGGCTGAAGATGTATTTCTAATCATTCTAGGTAAAAGCAACACCATAGCCACTCAGCGACCTAGACTCGTACAGACCAAGATTGACAGCAATTGTCAATATAGAGGATGGGACCTGTATTTTCCAAATGAAGGTATAAGACAGCTTTACATCAGTGGCTATATAGGATATATTAGGGTGGCATTCCTCTATCACATAATAAAAGAACATATTGAAAGACAATTTGAATATCATAACACTGTGTTTCAATGACATATGTCACATTCTCTCTAATGAGCGCACAGTGCTCTCCCCAAACTGAAATTTACCTAAGCGCACTTACAAAAATTTAGAAAAAAACATCATCTATAATCTTTTTAGATGGTATCACTAAGGTTTACATACTCTACACCTCCTGTATTTCTTTCTCTGCATTCAATATAATCATCAAACAATATCTTGTTGTGTAAACATGTTTTCTTGAGACCACATTCATCATATAAGTCGCATGTGCGCTCGTTGGAATGGTGTGCTTATCAGAGAGAATATGGTATGCTTGAATTTTGTGAAAATATATAAAAATACTATATAAATGTACAAACATTCAATTGATTAATCATGAATTAAAAAATGTCAGTACTTGATATTTTGAATAAAAATTGCAGAACTTAACAGTTCTTTAATCTCAATTAATTTCTATTGTTTATTTGCAGCTCATTCAGACATGTCTCCCACTGTGCAAAGGGTAAAGGTGTTTGAGAAATATATGCAGACATGGAAAGCACTTTTTAACTTTGTAAGTACAAAATAACCTGTCAGACTCAATTTGTCAGGCTCTGGATTTGTAATTACCTAATGCCAGCAGTAATTCAAGAATGGAGTCTTTATTAGAATCAATTTGTAATTACCTAATAGGCAATTTTTAAAGGCAAAGTGTTGGAATTGAGCTATATTTTAGTACAGGGGTTTGGTCAAAATGTCAATACTTGGTTGAATGGCATACAACATTTTTATCAAAATCTGAAGTAATGTTATCAGGATAAAAAAACATCACTCCAACGCTCAAAAATCATCTTAGGGGAGGCATCAAAAGATCAATGTCTGATAGAAAACTAAATAAATCTAGTTTGGGGGGGAGGGGGTCAAAGTTATTTCAGTTTGCTATCCGACAAATTTCAACATTTAATTTTTTTGCAATTTCAACTCGAAATGCCTTGGAATGGTTTAAAAATAAAGACTTTACCAGATGCCTAATCTTCACCAAGATGCATGCAACATGGAATATTATGCCTATTGTTGTTGGCACATGTTTTAAGAATCATAAATAAGTTATAGTACTGGCCCCATGAAAGTCCAAATTGAGTCGCTAAAACATGTGAAAAGTCTGCGATCAACTTTCATTGTATTTAGTTTTGAGGGGGAGGGGGGAGGGGTCCAACTCAAAACTAGATTTATTTAGTTTCCTATCAGACATTGAACTTTTGATGCCTTCCCTTAAGGACCCCATCTTGCCACATTTTCCTAATAATATCAGACTTATTTTCTAGAAAGAGGACCTCTCCTTTCTTTTTTTACCAATCAAAAGTCCCGGTAATTTCTGAAAGAGGAATGGCATTAAAATTTTGAAACAACATCTGCCATATCATTTTCCCTTGGAGAAAACTCGTGCTATCCATTGTTTTCAGCCTAATTTTGGTCACTCAAATGTCATATCTTCCAAATAAGACTTTTTGGAATGTATTCAAGTGTAATCTGTTTATACAATAAAAATGGGAAAAAGAAAGATCCTCTTTTAAGAAAACAAGTCCGACATTTTGGAAAATTTACTGAAGTAGAGTCCTAATCCATGGAAAGTTGAATTGAGTTTTATTATCCTGGGGACCTCACATGGATGAAAACTTATTATTTTGATGAAAACAATGTACATGTATTAATATTTTATATGGAGAGAAAATACTTATTGTCAAAGATGTGACTGTCTTAAAACATATTATATTGAAAGACATTATTCTAAAATGAATGAAATAGTCTTTCAGCTGATAAAAACCTGTGAGGTGTTGACCCTCCACGCCTCCATTCATAAAATGTATATTTCTTTTTAAATCCTAATGCTTGACCAGATCCCTTGCTTAGTGTTCCAAAATGTCGATTCTTCCTGTCAGATTGTCAATTTTCTGCACAAATAATATTGCCTGCTTAAGTAAAGCAGTTCCTGAGCAGACAATGAAAAGGATGTTCGCATTAGCAGTGAAGGATAATAGTAGAGTGTAGAGTGACCTGGCAGATAATAAGTCATGATTTAAAATACTAGAGCTGACAATTAGGTAGTATATCAAATCATAATTTGAAATACTTGAGCTGGCAAGTTGACTACCATGCAATTCATGTGTGCCGACACTTACATGTAGGCCACAATTGTTGAGCTGGCAAGTTGACTACCATGCAATTCACGTGTGTCGACACTTACATGTAGGTCACAAATGTTGATTATATTCCCCCTCACAACTGTTATTTTGTCCTATATTTTGCCATTTCTGTCTCATGACCATCGAAAATTTGTGATATAAAACACATTCCTGAACACCTTTTTAATGAGATTCCCATGTACTAGAATTCAGTGCAATGCCTCTCCATTTTACCCATGGACTTTAGAAAAAGCTTGCCATGCTGTATAATTACAATGTTCCAGGACAGGTGTCAAAAACTTCCATATTGTAATTTTACAGACAAACTAAATGAGAGGTACTGGATGAGGCATACATGTATATATTTGTATCAATGAATGCGAATGCATGATCTCATGTTAACATTTATCATTTCAGCGTGACATTGAGACCAGAAAATGCTTCACAGTTAGTTTTAAGGACCTGATGAATGATCAGAGTAAGCCCTTAAAAATCTTAAGTGATTACTCTCATCTAGTGAGCAAAGGGGTATTTTTCATAATTTGTTGCTTATACAAAAGATTTAGAGTAAAAGATGTGTTTCATTTTAAATATTTGTTAATCAAAATACCATAGTTCTGCATGTTTTACTGGTCTATTTTAGTAAAAGTTGGGAAATGATTTAACCAAGTTGAAATTAATTTCATGTTTTATTTTAGTGATTGCAGAAGGTCTTCCTAACTTTAAAGCAGAAATGAAATCCATGCCTGAAACAATACTTAGTTGTCTTGGCCTTGCTATGCATCAGGTATGCCCTTTTAAAAAGTTCATGTCAAGTAAAAAAGACACTCGACTAAAGCCGAGTAAACTCCTCTATGAGAAGTAGGAGGGGTGTCAGTGTTTTGAGATAGAAAATATCAAGAATTGGAAAGTCTGGAGAATCAGCGCAATCATTATATTAAAATACTGAACAATCGACTCTCACTGTCTTGATATTCTCACTCATTTCTTATTGCTAAGGGAACTTGACTCGATTTTTCATACATGTTCCCGGGCCCAGGATCTCACTTTTACATTCTATTTGGAAACATTGTGTTCTAAGGTGTAATAGGGATACTCTCAGAATTTCCATAGGGTCCCTTCCTTAACATTAACTTGAATTATAGAGATCTCTTTCAGATGATGATCAAAGAATTTGAACATGAAGCCAAAGAAGCAGCAGACTGTATGACTCCATCTATAGTAGGGACCCCTGGTGTGCAACCTTCAAGAGCAGAGCCACCTATTGAGCATGAACCATACCATTTGTCATTAGTTCATGCAAGGATGGTCAACTATGAACCAATAGTTGCTCTTAAAAATCTCAAAGCTAATTATTATGGTAAGTGTAGGGATATCCCAAATGTTGAATTTGAGAAAAATTAAGAATTAAAATCAAACCCAGCATGGTGGGTAGGTGGAAATCCAGCCGAATTACATCATCTGGGCCATCTCATAAGTGTAGTTGTCTTGTCATTTATTTAATTGTGGGTCTTATATAATGTACTGAAAGTTGAATTAGTTACATAATGGTTTCTAACTTGAAGATTAGAAAATACATGACACAGAAAATGCATTTAGGGGTGTCCAAAGGCAATTATATGAGAATAAAAACTGAATCATTGTTGTTTTCATTGTAGGCAAGTTTGTATCAGTAAAAGGCACAGTAGTGAGAGTTGGGAACATCAAGCCTTTATGTACCCGTCTTGCCTTCCAGTGCAACTCATGCAACACATTACAGGTGATTTTATTTAGAACAGGTGAATTTACACTGTTCACATTTGTTCTATAATCTCAAATAATACCCCTGAATTTAATGCTGGTGCATTCTTTCTTCCCTGTCAAAAATGCTCAACCTTGAATTATGTACAGCAATGGTTGTACTATGGTTATTCAATTATTGCACATGTACTTTCAGTCAGTGATAAACTAAAAGATCAATTGCCACATTTTGTTTAATTAAGAATTTTATTGTTTGAAATTTTATTTGGATTATTATAAAGATTCACGTATTGTATAATTTTAAGGTTGTTTCTCTGCCAGATGGCAAGTATGTGCAGCCCTCTCAGGTGAGCAATATATACAGTCAGTATTTCTTACATTGTCCATGTATTCTAGTCTTGCGTCAAGCCTGGTTTTCTCCAGTATGTATTATATTATTACTCTATCCAGAAAGTATAAATGCTTTGTAAAGTGAATACTGTATTAATGGGGCTCAGCACAAAGATTCAACCAACAACCTATTGAAGAATGGGAACTTTTACAAAAACTGATATCATGAGAAAATGTATTAAAAACTTCACATACACACCACTGAACTTCCAATCTTTCTCTCAAATGATGTTATAAATTTACATGTATATAACTATTGAAATAGTCATTATGAAATGTTCCCCCCTGGGGTGTTTTTTCATGTATTGTTTGAAACATTGTATGATTGATTTTTAATTTAATAAATTGAATTGAATTGAAAAAAAAAAATACATAAAATTAAAAATAGAGATTTGATGCAAGACTTATGTAAATTCACTCTTTATGGTAACACAATGAATTCATAGCTTATAAGAAGTTCCTTTTTATATGCTCCAATGACAAAATTGCGCAATTGCGTTATAGTATATCTTATCAGTCCAGTGTCACGAGAAAAACTGTCTCCAATAAATGATTGAAATCCTTTCAAATTGATGTGAGGATGTATTCTTACCATACATATGTCTTACATGTTGTAGTGTGCCAGTACAGATTGCAGAGGAAGACAGTTCATTCCCAAGAGAAGTTCCAGTCAGACTGAGACCATTGATTGGCAGACTATAAGGTACCTATGCCCACATCAGCTCTTAATTAAAGTGGGCCATGACATTTCTGTATTCACTTAATTAGAAAGACCAAGAACTATTTTATTTATATTTAATATGTCACCATAAGTCATGTAAGTTTCCAACTTTTTTTGTGGACCGCAGTTGGCATCCAGCAGAAGGCATTTGGAGTCTGCCCTCTGTAACAAATGGCAGGTATTTTGCAAGTTAATTCCTTGTATTGTATCACTAATTCCCCTGTGGCAACCCTGTCGTCTAACCGCATGGATCAGTTTTACCAGTTATATATAATTTTCTTAATGTTTGTAGAGTGCAGGAGATAGTGACAGAAGACCATAGAGAGTCTGGTAGGATACCTAGAACAGTTGATCTAGAGCTGACCTATGATCTAGTTGACAGTTGTGTTCCTGGAGATATGGTGACAATATCTGGCATTGTCAAGGTCCAAAGTTCTGATGAAGGTAATGAAAATATATTCAATCAATGTAAGATGTAATATCATCCCCTCAGAAATGTCCATGATTAGTTACTCAAGTCAAATAGTCAACATTTTTTATAACTGAGGCCTTTTTTATATGTCAAAATGTGTTAGTTTAATTGGATAACACTTACAAAATGTTTATTTAACATGATGTGAAAGCAATTAAAGTGACAACATTCAAAGGACACAAATACCAAAAAACAATATCATCCCATACTCCGCATACATCAGACTTATTTAAATTAACTTTATTCAAGTGTACTTTTTTACCCAGGACGTGGACGACAGAGCAAGGACAAGTGCATGTTTTTGCTATACATTTATGCCAACTCAGTTCAAAATAGCAAAGGAGAGAAGAAATCTGATAGCAAATCTGCAGGTGTTGCTATGGACTTCACAATGAAGGAACTTTATGCCATTGAAGAGATCCAGAGTGAGGCTAACCTCTTGAAACTTATCACTGCGTCATTATGCCCATCCATATATGGGCATGAAATGGTTAAAGCGGGTAAGTGTATTTATTCCATGGACTTATCACATCATTATTTTTGGCTCACACAGTGAGCCTATGGGATTGACCAGGCGTCCGTCCATCCATTGGTCCGTCCGTCCATCCGTCCATCCGTCCGTTGGTCCGTCCGTCCGTCAACATTGGCCGCACAAATTAAAACTGCTAATCGGATTGAGTCATATCCACATTCATTTTATGCATATCCATAATGCCTATTTGACCTTTCATTTTTCATTTCATTTATTTATTTTCAAACATCTGGTGAAACATACAGATAAGGCGGATGACACCCTAATGGGCATATTATCCGCACAGAGAAGATGAACATGACAAGCAGTGTTGTGTAAATTATGTATCTCCAGCCTCGCACTCCCCACCCCCATCTCCCACCCGTCAGCATGGTCTTAACAATATTGAAAGTAAACTGGGTTGCCAGTTACAGTCTCTGAGCAGTATATTCGAATAAGGTTAAGTGCTTTGAAAAATGATAGGCGATGATATATGTTGGCTTTGCCAATTAGATGATGGAATAAAAACAATGAGCAAAAAAAGAAAGAACGATAACAATAGCTACTAGGTAGACAGCATAAGTGAATAGCTAATTGGAGATTGTTATCATTGATTGATCAAAAATGACTTGATTTTTTTCTTGAAAAGAGGTATAGAGTTGCACTTAGTAACTTCATCAGGTAATATATTCCATAAATCTGGTCCCTGCTTACTGATGGAATATTTGCCAATGTTTGTTCTAAAAGTTGCTGATCTGAGTTTGAATTGTTGTCTGTTCTCATGTCTATGAATAATATTGTTTGGAGTGAAGTAATAACTGAATTGGTTTTTGGATGTTGGGTCAGTGCCTTTGATACATTTGAAAAGATATGTCAGGATACCGACTTTAAAAATTTGAAATATATTAAGAATGTTAGCATTTTTGAAGAATGGTGCTGTGTGATCTCTTAATTTACAATTTGTATCGTATATTCTTATAAATTGTTTTTGCAAACGTTGAATTTTATTTAGAGAAGATGGGGGAACGTTCCCCCACACAATAAGGTTATAGTTTAAATATGAATAAATTAAGGAATAATAAATATGTTTTAAACTCTTTTTCTCTAAAAGGTGTTTGACTCTGTGAATAACTCCCAAAGTCTTTGAAATCTTCGTTTCAACATAGTTAATGTGGGCTTTCCATGATAAATGTTCATCAATAAGTGTTCCGAGGAAATTACAAACTGATTTTCTTTCAAGTGGGACGTTATTCATTGTGAGATTGACTTTGCTGTAATCTATTTCTTTTTGAGCAGTCTTGAAAATAATGAAGTTGGTTTTGTTTGGATTGAGAGCGAGTTTGTTGCATTTAAACCATTCATTAATAATAGATAGCTCTTTATTTGCAGTAGAATTGATTTCATCAAGATTATCACCAGAAAAGAGAATATTTGTGTCATCTGCGTAAAGGAACATTTCTGCTTTCTCTGAACATTTGTAGATATCGTTAATGTAAATAATAAAAAGTAAAGGTCCCAGTATTGTGCCTTGAGGCACTCCACAGGTAAAATTGGCTATATCTGAGGTTGTATCATCAATTTCTACAATTTGAGATCGATCTGAGAGATAACTTTGGAACCATTTGAGATACCTCTTATGCCATAGTGATCTAGTTTTTTCAAAAGAATAGTATGGTTTAAAGTATCAAACGCTTTTGAAAGGTCACACATAATTCCTAAACAAAGTTTCTTTTTATCAATAGCAAGTCGTACGGTTTCAACAAATTTTAAAAGTGCCATGAAAGTTGAGTGATTTTTCTTAAATCCGTATTGGTGGGCATAAAATACATTTTGTTTTTCAAGGAAATCAAAAGTTCGAATATATATACATTTCTCAAAGATTTTTGAAAAGACTGATAAGAGAGAGATAGGTCTATAATGGTTAAATACATCTGTTCTGTCTTTTTTGTGGATTGGAATTACTTTTGCGAATTTAAGTTTATCTGGAAATACTCAAGATGAAAATGATAGGTTAATAACATGCATAATTGGAAAGCCTAGAAATTCACTGCATTCCTTTATTACAATAGGTTTAAAATTATCTGGCCCAGCTCAGATAGCTGCGTGATAATTTTGACAATTTCTGTATGATTGGCTGGAGTAAGAAATATGGAATTATTTACTCTATTCATTTTATTCAAAAAAGTATCAGGTGAATAGTTGGATTGTCCTACATTTTTTGCACAATTAAGCCCTACATTTGAAAAAAAGTTGTTGAATCCGTTGGCTATATTTTTGCTTACCTGTTATTGTTTTATTATTTTCTGTAAATGAGGTAGGTAGAGGCTTGTAATTTTTCTTTTTTCTTTGCATAATTTCGTTCAAAACTTCCCAAGTTTTTTTAATATTAGATGATACTTCTGAGAACCTAGATTGATAATATTTTCTTTCAGCAATTCTCATGATATGTTTCAATCTATTCTTATAATTTTTATAAATTTGATTATTTTCCTGCGTTGAGTTTTTAAGATATTTTAGGTAAAGTTTATTTTTTGTCTTACAAGAAGTTATTATGCCAGATGTGAGCCAAGGTTTACCGTTGTTTTTAAATTGCTTGACATTTTTGGATTTAATAGGGAAGGCCTGTTCATATTGGATTGATAATTTGTTATTGAAAATTGAATAAGCTTCATTAGTATCTTGACATTCAGTAACATCACTCCAGTCAATCATTCGTACATTACGTTTGAAATTACTTATAGAGTTATCATTTATTAATCTGTAGTGTATATCTTTAGTCATAGTTGATTTTACATTTTTTTCTGTAATGGCAAAAATGGGTAGGTGGTCAGAAATTGATTGAACTAGTATACCTGCTGATTTTATATTTGGGACATTAGTGAAGATGTTGTCAATTAAGGTTGCTGAATGAGGTGTAACTCTAGTAGGTTTAAAGATCAAAGGAAATAAGCTATATGAAAATAACAAGTTGATAAAATCATTTGACGGATTATGGTGTTCTACCTTAAGCAAGTCAATATTAGTATCACCCATTAAATAGATTGATTTGTCCTCAGAACATAAAGAGCGAAGAAATTCTTCAAATTTCTCATTAAAATTGTTGATATTAACGTCAGGTGGTTTGTAAATACATGACACTAAGATGTTTTTTGAATTGGGGTTGAGTATTTCAATAGTTGTGGAGTTGCAATCATTGTGATTTAATTTTAAGTCTGGTCTAATTTTACAGTTTAAACCTTTACGGACAAACAAAGCAGTTCCGCCACCGTTAGTATCTCTGTGGTCAAAAAAAGATTCATATTTATAATGATTAGATAATGATTCAATATTACTATTAAGCCAAGTTTCAGAAATACCAAATACCGAAAAGTCTTTCTCAAATTGTGCCATCAAGCCATATAAGGCTGATTTATTTGCATTGAGGCTCCTTGCATTAACATGTAAAACTGTAAGTTCATCATTTGATGAATTTCTAATGTCATTGTTTACACTAATTAAGTTTTCATGATATTTACATGAATTCATATTAGTTTCTAATTGGGAGTCTAATTGATTAATATCATCCTTGTCGTTTGCAATGTTATTAAGATCTTTAGCATTGAAGACAAAGTTGTCACATTGGTCGTATATAGAAATGTCATCTAACATAGCATTGGCAAAAGGCAATATGCTCCAGAGACCTGGCATATCAGTATTGATATTATCCAGGATCAAAGATATAATTGACCATGCTGGAGGGTGGGGAGTGGGAAGTGGTGAGTGGAGGCGAAAATACTGTATCACACATCATGCAAGAATGGGAGGGGCATACAATGCAGATCAAGATCTCTCTGCATAGATGAACCATAAAACACAAAATATAACTATAATGATACATACATTCACCATACTACTATAATTATAGTGAAAGATATGATAGAATAATTCAATTTTGACAAGAGTTACCATACAGAGCCTTACCATCAAATAAGCATGTAAAGCTTCATCATTGCACACTATATCATATCGTAATTTGGACTTGGTGCCTAGTAACAGAATGATAAGTGTGCTTTGAAAGCAACAATTTTATGTACAACTTTTCAACTTATATCAAGTAAGATAATATCATATCATGTCATAAAAATAATGTAGAATATCATGTAAGATAATATCATATCATAAAAATTAGTATCACTTGACTGTATATCAAGTCCCATTAATGTAGCATATCATATTCGATAATATCATATCATGTCATATAAATCAGTATCATTTTAAATATATATCAAGTCCCATTAATATAGCATATCAAGTAAGATAATATCATATCATGTCATAGAAATCAGTATCACATGACTATATGTCAAGTCCCATTAATATAGCATATCATATTAGATAATATCATATCATGTCATAGAAATCAGTATATATCAAGTCCCATTAATGTAGCATATTGTATTAGATAATATCATGTCATGTCATAGAAATAATGTACCATATCATGTAAGATAATATCATATCATGTCATAGAAATCAGTATTACTTGACTTTATATCAAGTCCCATTAATGTAGCATATCATATTAGATAATATCATATCATGTCATAGGAATACTGTAGCATGTCATGTGTGATAATATCATATCATAGAAATCAGTATCATTTGACTATATATCAAGTCCCATTAATGAAGCATATCATTTTCGATAATACCATATCATGTCATAGCAATCAGTATCATTTGAATATATAAAAAGTCCCATTAATGTAGCATATCAAGTAAGATGATATCATATCATGCCATGTAATAGAAATAGTGTAGCATATCAACATGTTAGATAATATCATATCATAGAAGTCAGTCTCACTTGACTATATATCAAGTCCCATTAATGTAACTTATCATGTTCGATAATATCATATCATGTCATAGCAATCAGTATCATTTGAATATATATCAAGTCCCATTAATGTAACATATCAAGTAAGATAATATCATATCATGTCATAGAAATCAGTATCACTTGACTATATGTCAAGTCCCATTAATGTAGCATATCATATTAGATAATATCATATCAAGTCATAGAAATCAGTATCATTTGACTATATATCAAGTCCCATTAATGTAACACATCATATTAAATAATATCATATCATGTCATAGAAATCAGTAACATTTGACTATATGTCAAGTCCCATTAATGTGACATATCATATTAAATAATATCATATCATGTCATAGAAATCAGTAACATTTGACTATATGTCAAGTCCCATTAATGTAGCATATTATATTAGAAAATATTATATCATGTCATTTAAATCAGTATCACTTAAATATATATCAAGTCCCATTAATGTAGCATATCATATTAGATAATATCATATCATACCATAGGAATAATGTAGCATATCATGTAAGATAATATCATATCATAGAAATCAGTGTCACTTGACTGTATGGATCAAGTCCCATTAATGTATCATATCATATTAAATAATATCATATCATGTCAAAGAGATCAGTATTATAACTATATATCAAGTCTCATTATCATATTATATTAGATAATATCATATAATATCATATAATATAATTTAGTAGTTGGTGTATATGCAGCTTATGTCCTCTGAAGATTTCAAAGCTCTTGGAATTACGGTTTTTGGTGTTTACTTTATAAAATTTGAAAAAAAGTAGGACTTAATCATTTTCAGGAAACTTTCTCATGGATAAAGTCAATGGCAGGTTTTGTGATTGACAAGATTCTTAAAGTTTGCCTTATACTTGATCATTTCCTGCAATAAATTACATCATTAATAGATTTAAGCATTCCCTACATATTGCTTAATATATGTCAGCATCAAATTTTTACCGTTTTTGAAATATTTGACGTCAAAAACAGTAAAAATAAGTTATTTTTCAACTTGCTTCAATTTGACCAATATTTTTTGAAAATCATCTACAAGTTGCCTGGAGTTCAAATCTGACATTAGTTTTAGGATCTGACCTTTACTTGACCTTCAGTGACCTTCGAAAGGTCAAAATAGTTGATTTTTCAAATTGATTTTTGGATGTAAATTTTGGTCAGCTTAATCACAAAAGACCTTACTGAGCTCTGAATAAGTAAAATTTTCTAGGTCAAAGGTCATCAAACTAGGTCACTTAACTATGCTATCTAAGTTTCTCAAAGTTCGAGACTACAAATCCAAATCAATATTTTTGTTTAAAGTCAGGATATAAATTCCTCTGAAGGTTCCAAACTGTGTGAGCATAGGACCGTGGGTCCTTCATTAAAGATTGCTCTACTCCTACTGTAGTTGTAGATACAAGTAATAAGGGCCAACCAAGTTACAAGTTGTCATCAACTGCTTGTTTTCAATTTGGAGAGGTAAGTAAATGACAACACGATTCAAATAAAATCTACATTCATATTGTATGAATTTGTATACTGTAGATGCTCTTATGCATTGCTTACCCATTGTTTGGGACAACAAATAATTACATTTTTTGGTCTACATGTATATTACTAAGCATGATTATACATTTAAAACTATGTTCTTTATATGCCTACCCTATAAATCTGGTCTTGCCTTGGGTCTGTTTGGTTTAGTTAAATATCATGTTCATGTACCTGTATATGATTCTGCCCGTATATTGGTTGCCAGAGACTCTGGCCTCAGAAAGAGTCTATTATCTATATGCGCCTACATATTTCAGGTCTTGTGCTTGGTCTGTTTGGTGGATCATAGAAGTTTGTCAATGGCAAGAATCATATACCAGTCTGTGGTGATGCCCATATACTGGAATTGAAAGAGTCTATTTTCTATATGTGCCTACATATTTCAGGTCTTGTGCTTGGTCTGTTTGGTGGATCATAGAAGTTTGTCAATGGCAAGAATCATATACCAGTCTGTGGTGATGCCCATATACTGGAGTAGAAAGAGTCTATTTTCTATATGTGCCTACATATTTCAGGTCTTGTGCTTGGTCTGTTTGGTGGATCATAGAAGTTTGTCAATGGCAAGAATCATATACCAGTCTGTGGTGATGCCCATATACTGGAATTGAAAGAGTCTATTTTCTATATTTGCCTACATATTTCAGGTCTTGTGCTTGGTCTGTTTGGTGGATCCCAGAAGTTTGTCAATGGCAAGAATCATATACCAGTCTGTGGTGATGCCCATATACTGGTGTTGAAAGAGTCTACTTTCTATATTTGCCTACATATTTCAGGTCTTGTGCTTGGTCTATTTGGTGGATCCCAGAAGTTTGTCAATGGCAAGAATCATATACCAATCTGTGGCGATGCCCATATACTGGAGTTCAAAGAGTCTATTTTCTATATTTGCCTTCATATTTCAGGTCTTGTGCTTGGTCTGTTTGGTGGATCATAGAAGTTTGTCAATGGCAAGAATCATATACCAATCTGTGGCGATGCCCATATACTGGAGTTCAAAGAGTCTATTTTCTATATTTGCCTTCATATTTCAGGTCTTGTGCTTGGTCTGTTTGGTGGATCATAGAAGTTTGTCAATGGCAAGAATCATATACCAGCCTGTGGTGATGCCCATATACTGGAGTTGAAAGAGTCTATTTTCTATATGCGCCTACATATTTCAGGTCTTGTGCTTGGTCTGTTTGGTGGATCATAGAAGTTTGTCAATGGCAAGAATCATATACCAGTCTGTGGCGATGCCCATAAACTGGAGTATTTTCTATATTTGCCTTCATATTTCAGGTCTTGTGCTTGGTCTATTTGGTGGATCACAGAAGTTTGTCAATGATAAGAATCGAATACCAGTTCGTGGTGATGCCCATATCCTGGTTGTTGGAGACCCTGGTCTTGGAAAGAGTCAGATGCTGCAGTCAGTGGCCAATGTTGCTCCTAGAAGTGTATATGTCTGTGGGAATACAACTACAACATCAGGCTTAACAGTAAGTATGTGTACAACTTAAGTCCCTTGAGATGTCGTCTTAAAGTACCCATAAAATCTCTAAATATACATGTACTTTGAAAAATGACTCACCTGCAGCTTGACCAAACAATTGGAACTTGTTTTGAAAGTTTTCTAGATATTGAACTGCTGTAGGAAGGAGAAGGGAAGATGATGGCTGATATGTGCATTTGTTGCTGTCGCAGTAAAAAATATGATTATACTGTCCAACTTTGGCAATATCTTAAAAGTTCTTTGTATTGTGATGTGACATTGAAGGGCTCTGTCTCGGAATAGCCAGTGACGAATTTTGATGCAAAAATGACAGCAAATCAGTTATTTTATTGACCTCAATCCCAAATTCATTTATCAATGCATTAAATTTTATGTTTGAATTGGAATTACTAGGCGTGTATGTCTGTCTGTCCGTTTGTCTGTCCATCTGTCCATACATCTGATAGTATTCTCAAAAACTGCTTCAGATAACACCTTCAAATCAGGGATAACCTTAGAGTACACACATATGTGGTACAGAAAATTTTGTCTCGATAACTACATGTGCTGAACAGTTGTTTTTAAAACTTAAACATCTATAACTCACTTCATTACAGCTGATTAGGTTTTGGACATGTTGGCTAAATACATGGCAGCCATTTTAAAAATCTCAAGAAAAGTCAGTGAGTGATCTTACTTTGTATTCTAACATGATGCTTTTGAGTTTTCAAAATAAAGAATTTAGTAGCTTTCACAATTATTTTAAGTGTGCTGCATTGTAAAAACCCAATGTCACTTTTGACAGTTCTTTATGAGATAATTTTGTAAAAAAATTTGACAAAAATTATATTGCTTTTTTATTGTCGGCCATATTTGTATTTTCTGTCCTAAAATTTTGTCTGTAAAGTCTTGTCTACATGTTTTCTGGTGAACCATTTCTAGGGATGATTATTTGTACTGAAATCTCTTTTAGGCATTCTGGGTAAATGTTAAGATGGCCATTTTGGATTTTTTGTCCTAAAATTGTGTCTATAAAGTCTTCTATGCATATTCAGACAACCTGAGTCAGACAGATGGATTTCAAGTTTTCAGGCAGCATTCCCTGTATGAAAATTTCAAACCGGGTGCAGATTCCTAGGTGAAGATTGCATATTCAACAGTCGTTCATCCATTCAAAATTAGAGAATGACTATAGTGCAATCTCACGGGGTCCCAACTAAAAGGAAAACAAAAATACCTTTCTGTCGGTGCACTGCTTAATTGTAGAGTCCCTCATTTTAGCGGCATTTGGGTCCCCAGATGTGAGAATCGCTTTCCACAGCTGCAGGGGACCGAAACAGAGCTTATGGAAGAGTAACATCTAAGGGCATTTGAAAATGTTTTATTTTGAATTCATCAAGATAAATAACATATGGGTACATTTTGTCCTTTCTTCGTGTACATTGAAGTATATCATCAGCAGAGACTTGATTTTGGGTTTGTGTAAAAAGCCGGGTGACTGGGTAACCGGGTACCTAACGTTCCTAGCAGGGTTACCAACTTTCAAAGTTCCACATTTCCCTCGATATATAAGTAACGAATTGACTTGACAGATTTAGCCTACCGAGTGCACTGCTGTTCGATATTTTTACCCTATACGAGACAGAGCACTTTTTAAAGTAATCGATCCAGCAAACAGTGACGTCCATGTCACATTGCTCATAAGTAGCATATAAGTTCCTAAAAGACGTCGCACATTTTCGTTCTTTACACATCGAGGCAACGTAAACATGAGACATCTATTGATGGTATAAAAAGAAGGTTGTTGTAACGTGTCCGTAAAGTTTGTTAGTGTGGAAAACATAACAAACAGGAACGTTTGATTTTTTACTACATTGGTCCATATGTGACGTAACTCAAACGTTAAAATTCAACGTTGTCAAAACAGGCTTTTAATATCAAAATATTTGTTGGTGGAAAAAAACATGACAAAAACTTTGTGTTCTCACTAAGTCGGTTCATTTCCGACGTATTGTTAACGTTAAAATTTAACGTTGTCGAAACTTTTTTTCGATTTGAATTAACCTCAAAACGTGATGTCGAAAATAACGCACATGTATCGTCCAGACCCAACTTTAGAAATAAAAAAAAATTCCTAACCCTGCTAGGAACGGTACATACCCGGTTACCCGGTCACCCGGTTTTTTACACAAACCCCTTGATTTTATATATATTTTATTTTATTAGTTTCTTATTTAAAAGTCAAGTAAGGGTCCATAGAATCTATTTCCATTATCATTTCCATCAGTATTGAACAAAAAATCATCAAAGGCATCAACTAACTCTTTTTCTGTGATTTTCCCATCATGGTTTGTATCCATGTAATCAAACTGCAATCTTGCTAGACTTGGATCAAGCTCCAAGGCCTTCCAGAAGATCAAGTACTCTTCAAAACTTATAAATCCATCAGAGTTGAAGTCAAGGACCTATAATATTAAAATAAATACAGTATTATCAATAATGTTATGTTTAGTTCTTGTCTCTTCACCATCTTCTTTAGTGTTATAGCGCCCACCTTAACCTAAATCTGCACCAACAATAGGCCTACTTGCAACTTGACATTTTTTATTGTAACTTGATAGAGTATGAGCATTACTTGCTCAATTTAGCGTTATATGAGGGTTGATCATAAAGTTCATAATATCTCTCTAATTTCTTTATTTTTCAATATAGTTTAATGAAATTTTTACAGAATGTGCAGTTTTAAGTATTTACACAAATATTAAATAAGAAATGGTTGCCATAGTAACGGGAAATCAAGGCACCCTGGGCAAATAAAAGAAATAATGAGAATGGATCTAATAAACCATGTTTACATACATAATAAATAGAGAGATTTTGCACCTAGTGAAAGTACAACTTATAACGTATACTTATACTTATAGGTAAACATACAAGGTGTTTCATAATGTGAGCTTTTCGTCAGGAAAGATCTTCTCGGACTGTAATAAATACAGGTCAAAGGGATGCCTCTGTACTTTCTTGAATTGTAGTATGTTTAGTTGATCCAAATGTGTTTGTCTAGAATAAAATAGGCTCATATATAGTACATATGTTATAGACCCATCTCTTCTCTTTTTGGAGATGCTCGTTTGACCTGTATGTTTTATGTTGAGCTACTGAATGGGTCGTTTCCAGGAATTGCTAGAACCTACTGGTTTGATTGGTGTTTCAAATTGATGGTTAAAGTATTTGATTGGATACTGTTCCCACTCAGCCAATTATAATGTGCATAATCTACACGTGCAGATGACAGTGCATTCATAGTCTCTAGTTGATGGAGCTTTTCTGTAACGGAATTAGTTATGTTCCATTAATTACAATTTAAAATTGATTTTAGTAAATATAATAGTTCAACATGACCCTTTAAACTATATGTATACGTATAAGTTGTACTTTCACTTATGTGCGAAATCTCTCTAATAAACTCTCATAAATTACCAAACACATTAAAATGTTAACTTGAATATGTTGTTTAGTGCTTTAACAATTCAATAAATCGATCGTGTAAATTGTGTGATGTCATAGGGTATGCTTTTATGCTTCATTAGATGTGATACCAGAGTCTGAGACTCATAGCTCATGATCAGAAATTACTGAGTAAGAGAATGCAATAGATGCAGAGATCTTCAGAAAAATAAAAATTTATATTAAGTTTGTAGGATCCTTTGGTCAGACTAAACATGATCTAAAACAAATATTTTGCTAAGATATCAACAAAATCATACCCTGTGTGTGGTCTTTATTTATTTATTTTATTTATTTATTTGCCAAACACTTTTTAATCAGTGGCACAATGGAAAATTCCAGTGTGGCAGTACATAAAACAAATACATATTCATAAAATACAATACAATACAGATAGATAGATAGATAAAATAAATATGTTAAATTGTACATATGTTATGAGTTTAAAATATCGTTATTAATAGTCACTAAAAATTGTTTGACACACTTGTCAAACAAGAATCCTTGGTCTTTGCCCAAAATACTAAAAACAACATCTCCTAGGCACCACTTTAATTTTTCATTTAAAGGAAGTGTTAAGAACATATTAAATACATCAGGGGAGCATGAGGTTTTAATTCTGTTGTAAAAATCAATTCTTTCACGTTGGTTGTGACTACATGTAAAAAATCTGTGTGTTAAATCATCAATTGGATGAAGGGAACAAAGTTTGCAAAAACCATCATCACATTTTCTTCTTTTGAGGTCAGTTCCAATACCTGCACACCCAGTTCTGGCTTTGAACTTCAATCTCTGTCCAACAAAATCATTACTTGAAGTAAGGTAATTCTCCAGAAATGGGGTTTGTTTGATTGATTCATAAAATTCTAGTGAAGATTTCGAGGAACATTCAGATAGAAAATTACTTTTGTGTTGTTGGGAGGATATGGTCAAAAAAGAATCATACCATTCATTGTCATCTCTAAACACAACATCATCAAGGCCATGTTCAATTAAAATGTCTTGTATGTTTTCAAAATATGGCCAACATGTTTTTACTCTTTCCTTGAAATTTTCAAACAGTTTATCAAAAATTGCCTTATGTAGGCCGTTCCTCATGGAGAACTTAAGATATAGAAAATAATCAATTTGTCTTTTCTGAATAATGTTAATAATGCTTCTCCAGCCAAGGTCACCTAACATTGCTGCTTTGGCAGGGTTACATTTAAGTTGAAAAATTGATTTGGCCAATTTATATTGCATTGAAGAAAGGGTCTTTTCAGAGGTCTTGTCAAGAATTAGAACATCACATCCATGCAACAAAGCAGGGAGGTACTGGGAGTAGTATAATGTATTACCAAATGATATTCTATTATAGTTAATATGCTTAGTTAGGGTTGATGCAACTAGATTTCTTAACTCCTTATCCTTTTCTTTTAAAACAACATTCACGTGGTAGTTATCTCTTAATTGCCTATTTAGATGGATGCCAAGATATTTGTAAGTATCAACTTCTTTGAT